GGTTGCTGTGAGCTGTAATGCCACGGCACTCTACCCAGGGGGACAGCTTGAGGCTCTGTCTCAAAAAAAAAAAAAAAAAAGTCTCTAGTCTTTTCTAAGAGTTAATAATAATGCCTTACCTTTGAAAAGTGCTTGGTGGCTTCCAAATCACTCCCAGGCACATTATATTATTTAACCTTCACATTGACCTTGTCAGGTAGGCAAAATAGGTATCACTTGTCTCCATATTACATGGGAAGAAATTTGAAGCCAAGAAGTAAAGAGGGGTGGCTAACATCACATAGCTGTGACTAGACCCAGGCCCTAGCTCCTCATTCTATTGGAGCATATTGACCTTTTGCTTTTGTAAACTCAGAGGAAAGGAAGATGACATTTGTATTTGGACCAGTAACAGTACTGCATCCTCTCTCTTACAGGTTCAGTCACCTGTGGCCTGTACATATGGACTCCCAAAGATCCCCAAATGAAACTGTCCTCATTACAGGAGGAGGTGGCTATTTTGGTTTCCGGTCAGTGCATCTACAAAATATGCCCAGGGAATTGTTTTTACTAGTAGTTGCCTGAAAATGTATAGCTTTCAACTCTGACACTAATATGGTGCAAACTTTTACTTGTCTGTGTAATATGAAACCAGAAATGAACTAGGTTGTCTCAGTGCTCAGACATTGAAATTGAGAACCATAGATTTATTCCACTTCAAGAAAAACTCTTTATAAAGCCATTAAGTTGGGGCAGAGTGATTATTCACATCACTAAAAACAATTTAAAATAATAGCTATTCTTTCATAATTATGTTATTACGTGATTTGCAGATATTCAAAAAATGGACAGTGGATCCTAAAACAGAGGGGGACAATGTAATATGTATTATGGATGCCACCATTCTTCAAAGATAAAGCCTCTCTTGATATACCTGCAAAAGACAAGGGGATTCTCCTGTTTGAGAATCTAAATAAGGTTTGCACCAATCATCATGCAAATTGAGGCACTCAGGATGAGCCCCACCTTGACTGGTAAATTATTTCATACACTTCCAGGCTTAGCTTAAGAGTGACTCCATCTGACTTTTACTCTTCCTCGTTTCAGACTAGGCTGTGCTCTGAACCTGAAGGGATTCCACGTGGTTCTGTTCGACATCAGCAGCCCTGCTCAAACCATTCCAGAAGGAATCAAATTTGTACACGGTGACATCCGCCATCTCGCTGATGTAGAGAAAGCCTTCCATGGGAATGTCACTTGTGTGTTCCATGTTGCCTCTTATGGTATGTCAGGACGGGAGCAACTGAATCGAAAATTGATCCATGAAGTCAATGTCAGGGGCACGGACAATGTCCTCCAGGCTTGCCAGAGGAGAGGGGTACCCAGGTTAGTTTACACCAGCACTTTCAACGTCATCTTCGGAGGTCAAGTTATCAGAAATGGGGATGAATCTCTGCCTTACCTGCCTCTTCATCTCCACCCTGACCACTACTCTCGGACCAAATCTATTGCAGAGAAGAAGGTGCTGGAGGCAAATGGCACAGCCCTGGAAAGAGGCAAGGGTGTCTTGAGAACCTGTGCTCTGAGGCCAGCCGGCATCTACGGGCCGGGAGAACAAAGGCATCTTCCCAGAATAGTGAGCTACATTGAGAGGGGTCTGTTCAAGTTTGTGTACGGGGATCCCAGGAGCCTGGTCGAGTTTGTCCACGTGGATAACCTGGTGCAGGCTCACATTCTGGCCTCAGAGGCCCTGAGAGCCGACAAGGGCCACGTTGCCTCTGGGCAGCCCTACTTCATCTCGGATGGCAGACCAGTGAACAACTTTGAGTTCTTCCGGCCCTTGGTTGAGGGCTTAGGCTACACATTCCCACCCACCCGCCTGCCCTTGGGCCTCATCTACTGCTTTGCTTTCCTAACAGAGATGGTCCACTTCATTTTGGGTCGACTCTACAACTTCCAGCCCTTTCTTACCCGCACTGAAGTCTATAAAACTGGTGTCACACATTATTGTAGCTTAGAGAAAGCCAGGAAGGAGCTAGGCTATGAGGCTCAGCCATATGACCTCCAGGAAGTAGTGGAATGGTTTGAAGCCCACGGTCACGGGAGAAGTCCTGACAGTCGTATCTCAGAGTGCTGTGTTTGGGGAGGGCTGTTGGGCTTCCTCTTGGTTGTAGCAGCCCTCACCTGGCTGCCGCCTCCTGTGATCCTGCTGCTGTGAAGGAGGGGCTGGAAATAAGGAGCTGATCACACTGAGATGGTTTTCAAGAAACATGGGTTTTGAAATAATATACAGTGCGCTCTAGCATCAAACTTTGGATCCTTAAAATTGCTACTTAAGAATAAGCTCTTGGATTAAATCTTCCTTACTTCGTTACACTAATCCTAATGGGAGGGGAAAAAAAATCAAAAGTTTAAAATCTGGTTTCCTGTGTCCTGTTTTAGATGGGTGCAGTAAAATCGGTTTGGAACCACTGAGGTGGGCTGAGTTGGGTTGGAAGGTACTTACTCCCATTGTGTACACTCTGCATCTGCTTAAATGGACTAGAACTCAGAATGATACGGGAGTGACAGGCCACTATCAACCAGGCTTGGAAATGTGTGGAAACACCAAATTGGCCCAGATCGACAACAGACCACCCCTCTGAGGAGATGGCAGCCCTCGCAGGCAGGCACAGGAAAGTGAGTTTCAGGGAGTCACTTTTGCTCTTTGTGATATATGGGCATTTTGCCTATGAGACCACATGATGTTTAAACAAATAGGCCTTTGTCCTACCTCACAGGATTCTTCTGAGGATTAAATTGGACAAAGCATATTCAACATATATAGCCATTATTTTTAGTTGGATTATTATACTTTCCTTATGAGAGTTTTCTTTCTCAGAGTGTTCTCTTTGGAACAGCTGTTGCTATTGAACTTTCTGGAATGTCTTTGGATGTGTCCTCAGAACCTGCAACTCATGTATTTGAATATACTCAGTGTTTGTAAAGTTTCGGCCTCTGAGGATGGATTAAGTTTAGGAAACAACTAAAAATATGATGATTAAAGGGAGTGATCAAGCTGATGATGCCATTTTTAATCAAAAAATGAAGCATAAACCTAACCCAGTGTTTTCCAACCTTTTTTAAACTAATAGCACACTTGAACCTGTACTTAAACTTCCATAGCACACTTAAAGTATGTTGATCAAAAAAGAAAAGAGCAAAAGAATATACTTACTCTGCTTTGAACTTGTTTTGAAAATAATTTAACTTAAGATCTTTAAAAACTTTTGCAGCACCCCAGTTGAAAATCCCTGATCAAAACTAATAGAGCAGTTCTTTTTACTGTGAAATACGGTGGCTCTCCAACAGGTGAGAAAAGTTTTGAACAATGGCAGCATTGTCTGGCCACCCACCAGGACTGCATGAAAGTCATTCAGATGCTACTGTTACATTGGAATCGAAGCAGAGGAGGAGGATGGATTCCCGTGAAAAATCGTGCTAGCATCATTCTGTGAGTCCTGGTAGAAGGCAGATAGGCGAGCAGTCCCTGTTGAAAGCTGTCTGCATGTTTTGGAAAAAGCTCTGAACTTGATGCCAAAGACCCACGCCACATCTAGTGTGGCCTTAACCAAGTCACTGAAGCCCCGTTAGAACTTAGTCTCCCCATTCAGGAGACGAGAGTGTATTTGCTCTTTCTCACCTCACAGGGTTTATTGTGAGCACAAAACAAGATGTGAAAGTACTTTTGATATGTCAATTGCAACATAAATACGAGGCGATGGTCATGATTATTCTTCAGAAACTGATATGATAAAAGAAGCTTCTGCTTTAGTCTGGGGTTAACTTGTCTGAGCACCCACAGCATCTCTAAGACTCAGGGTGCTTTGGAGCGGGTTTCTCTACGCTCTGCCAACTTAGAGTCCAGTCGTGACACAGCACATCCACAAGAGAAGGCCACCCATACCCAGGCTAAGGACAGTAAAACATGTTTATCGACCTGGAGAGGGAGCACAAACATTTTTTTCTTTTTTTTTTTTTTGGCAGTTTGTGGCCAGGGCTGGGTTTGAACCCGCCCCCTCCAGCATATGGGGCGCCGTACTCCTTTGAGCCACAGGCGCCGCACGGGAGCACAAACATTTTTAATGATATCTTTCAAAAGAGTGACTGCTCTGTTTTCTTGGACAAGTATACTGAGCACAGAGGGGTTTTTGTTTGAGAGGGTTTCTTTTGTACTTAAGATATCTAAATGAGACCCGGGAGCAATATATACTGGCTTCATTGCCATCCTGGAATGAGACATACTTGGCCATTCCACAACAGTTGACGCAGTTGTCCCCTCCCTCCTGGAAACAGTTATTTACTTTCCATGAACTCACCCTGTTCTGGTCTTCCTCCTCATATCAGTCGTCTGTTGCTGTGTAACAAGATTACCCCCAAACACAGCCAGCCCTGCGGGTCAGCAATGCAAGTGCAGCTCACCTGGCTAGTTCTTGCTTAGGTGGACAAGGCTGGCCCTACAGTCACACAAAAGCTCCACAGGCACTGGGGGACGGGGTGGGGGGTGGGGGTGGGCTCCATCTCCAGGTTGGCTCCCCCATGTGACTTGGTAGGAGGTCTCTGGTCACACCACCCCACCCCCCCGCCTCATGAGCATCTCCAGCACTGCTTGAACGTCCTTGGGAGAGATAAACGATTCCCCCCAGAGCAAGGGCCCCAAGGAGCAAGCTGGAAGTTGCCCTGCCTTTCCTGACGTGGCCCAAATTCACACTGTCACTCCACAGTGTATTTGCTGCAGGTCGGTCCTGTTCACTGGGAGAGGGAGGTACACACAGGTGTGAACGCCAGAAGGGGCATCACTGGGGTCTGTCCTAGAGCCTGGGCTCCTGGCTCCCCCAGTCACCCTCTGTTTGCAGCTGCACAGTTTGGTCCATCTGCTTGCTGCCAGTAGGATTTTAGGGGTCCAAAGACTGCTTTCCTGTTACCACCGTGTCTCTGTCAGTTCAAGCTGGCAATGTCACTGTGACTATTGGGAGCACTTTTTGTGTCTCCTTCAAGTCTTCCTGCAATTCCCTCCATTAGACAAAAGCCACACCCACAATCTCCTGGAGAAAAGCAGAACTGTGAGCTGCTTCTCAGACAGCTGAGGGCCTATATGCCCTTAGCTTGGGAGCTGGCGCGCTTTGTCATGCTCAGCCCTGGGCCTCGTCTAATACCAGACTTTCTTTCTAGCAGATCTCATTCCAGCTCATGGCTTCAATTCCCACCTCTAATCCAGATGTAAACTGCTAAATTTGTGGTCCCAGACCATTCTTCTGGGCTCCAGGCTCACATTACCTTTCTCTGCGTCTCCACATGGGTCTCTCATATTCACCTTTCAGTTAACACATCCAGGTGGAGCTCATAACCCTCCCCGGCCCCCCAAAACTTCTTACAGTGTTTCTTTCCTTAGTAAATGTCCCAACTATCCACTGAATCTCTTTTGCCAGAAATCTAGGATCATCTTTGACCCCCACCCCTCCTTAACTTGGCACACCTAACCCATGTTTAAGGCCATTGATTTTGACCTTGTAATCATGCCTTAAAGCTGCCCAGCATACAAATTTCACCTCTCTCCCCCAGACTCCAAAAATATCCATTTCATTCTTCCACCTACATCCTCTCCTGCCTCCTTTCCACCCATTATCCCCATGACAAGCAGAAGGAGTATAAGAATATAATTCTTATGTCACTTCCCTGCCCCAAACTTTCCTTAATTAATGTGACCTGAGTCTGATCTGGCCACTCACCTGCCCCTCCACACACTCATCTCACATTATTCTGCCGGCTCTGCCCCAACCACACTGACTTGCAGGGTCCCAGGCTCCAAGCTTCTCTTGCCCCTTTGGCCTGTGTAATGTTTATGTCGTGTCCCAGCTAAGTCTCTTCCTCCAGATGCCTTCCATGATCCCAGCAATTGAGGATGGGCCCTCCTGCTGGCACAGCACTCTGCCTTCTTTTTCGTAGCATTCATCACAACGGTAATATTGGTACAATGATTTGTTAATGCGTGCAGGCTCCACGAGGGCAGGAGCTTTGTCTTCTTAACTGTTACACCCCTGACACCAAGCACAAAGCAGGAGCTGGATGAGCATTTGCTGAATGAATGTTGTTTTCCCTTCTAAGGGTGAACACCTCTTTCTGGCATATAAGTAATTTACTGTTTCTAATCTTTTGAAGACTAGGGGAGATAGTCACCATAGGGAAGACTAGACGAGGTCTAGCAAGAAATTGGGGCATTGTGCATGTGGTAGAGTGGAAATAAGAAACGCTTTAAGATGTTGGGGGAGGGGGAGGGATGCCGAGAGAGTGGACAATGATTTCTGCTTTCTCCACATCTCAGCTGAAACTTACCACTTTGAGGACTTAGTTTAGTCTGTTTCTTGACAGAGAGCTCCCCTTCTCTTCTGAGGTCAGAAGATGCCACAGCTAGGAAATCCTGTTAGTCCCAGGATTCCCAGCTGCCCTCACCTTCCTTCATACTTGGGTTGAATCACTCAAACTCATGCAAAGCAATCAAATGGTGGCCCAGCCTGGCCACTTCATCCGCTGCTTGCAGGGAGTGTTGGGGGGTTATCTATAAACCTGAAGGAGGACCACAATGGGGGAAGGATGTGTGAGCCACAAAGAACCCTGTATTGGAGCCCAGAAGCAATGCCAGAACTGGTCTTTATCTGCATAAAGGGATTAGAGTCTGGAAGGCCTGTTGGAAATACTTCTTGTGTTTCCTTAGTGACGTCCCTGGTCATGGAATACAGGGTGCCACGTGTGAACAGAGGGCCAAATGACTAATCCTGGCACCAAATTGTCTATGCTCTGCTATTCCTCGGGCCTCTGGAATAGGCCCTAGGGATTCTTTTCAAGAAAAGATTCTGTTTTCCTCAGTCACCTAACATGATCATTCCAAGAAGGCCAGTATTGCTTTGTTATCGTTATTGGGTCATTGTATGCCTTGTATTCCTTTCCAACCCTCACCCCCCACTCCCCTCAGTGCCCTCTTCCTCACCAGGAGGACCCTCTCTTGGCCTCTAGCTCACGCCTTACAGAGTAGAGAGAGCCTGCCAAGTTACATCCCCCAGCCCTGACCCAGGACACCCCATGGGGGAAGGGCACCCCCCCCATTGCTGGCCTGGATAGCCAATACTAAAAGTCCCACTGTTTCCTAGGGCTTCTTGCTCTGGAGCAGGGGTCTTCACACTGTTTAAACAGGGGGCCAGTTCACTGTCCCTCAGACCGTTGGAGGGCTGGACTGCAGGCCCTGGGACAAGTCAGCTGCTAAGCAGGACAGGCAGCAGTGGCAAAAACACCCAGCGGGCTGGATAAATGTCCTCGGTGGGCCGCATGTGGCCCGCGAGCTATAGTTTGAGAATGCCTGCTCTGGAGATTAACACCCAACACTTTTTTGATGACAACAACCCACACCCACCCTTAACAGGTGCTGGCCTTCACGTTCA